GAGAGAGAGAGAGAGAGAGAGAGAGAGATATTTTCGCTCCCGTATCAGTGGGCAAGGCCCGTTTGACCTGGCACACATGCCGCCCATAGATCAACCAGAACCCTTAGGCCGAACCCCACCATGCCACGGGCTAACCATTAATTTACAACCCGCAGAGTAACCCCATACCTCAACCCCTGCATACAGGATCCGCGTCCCCTTGCGGCAGATATGAGCTACGACGTGGCGCTGAGGGATTCAACCGCTCCAGTTCCCGGACGGTCCCTTCTATCTCTCCATTCGGTCTCCTCCACTCGCCATCTCCGTTGCGCCCAACCCTTAAACGATCTCCACCTACCCGAGAAATACCCCGTTTATATCACGACGAAAGAAATTTAAATCTATCGACGGCACATTTCGATTAATCTATAACGATAACTCATCGAGCTCGCGAATCTTGCAACGTAGACTGATTTTGCTGGTAAAATATTATTTTGCATCCTTAATGTTCTTCAACTAAATAGGTTATCTCCCTAAAGAAATCAGGAAGATTCTTTATATTTTATTTACATTACTTTCTACACGTATTAAGTTATTGAAATTCTAGATAATTTGCCGTGTAATATTAATATTTAAAAATTTTTGATAATATCGAGAATGACCCGATCGGCGTCGAAACGTTTGTTGTAATCTCATATTTATAATTTAGAATATATTTTTGTTTGCGTATTTTTGGCTCGCAGCCCTTCAGATTATTTGATTTATTTATATTTTATGATTCAGCACTTACTATTAATTGTAAGAAGAAATCTTCATTAATTAATCATCGTATGTGTAATTCTTTCGGACTAACGATAAGAAGATACTTCTGTTAATCTCCGAACGCTAAAATCTCAATCTTCAGCCTTTTCTTTCAGTGATGAAACGGATTTATCCAGCTCGACGTGTTCATAACGAGCTCGTCGGTGGAAGGAAGAAAGAACAAAACTCTTAATTGTCAGCAGACTTCAAACTATCCAGGACACGGATGGAAGAAGAGACTAGAAGGGAGCAGATTCACAAAAATTCAGAGGAAGAGGGAGAGAGAAAGTGACGAATAAATGCAAGGAGCCGAAAGGGTGTGGGAAATGCTCTTTGATTTTGCGGGCTTTATTTTCGCTTAATAAGCTGGTGCGAATAGGCCCGGCTGTTGCTTGTGCTTTGTAACTCGATGGAAGTAAGTTGTCCCCTGTTTCGTTTTGTTGTCCAGCAGTTCCTTCTCTCCTTCGTGTCCCAACCTCCTACTCCTTCCCGCTCCTCCCGCGGGAATGAAAGGAACGAATAATTAGAGAAGGTTGGCGGGCATGGCCCGAAAGTTTCTGGCCAATTAATTAGACGGAGAAATGCACGGCACAAGAGGTAACCAGCGCATAAGCGCCAGAGACGGCAATTTAAACAGCGACAATTCGACTGCGATTATCGCTGCACAAACGTTTTGACGGCGCGCTTTTATAATGTAAAGACTTCAGTGTTGATAATGGCGGATATTAAGGACTTGAATACATAATAGGTCTGTGCACTATGAAATTCATAAAATTTAAAATTAAAAAGATTTAATAGGTAAAATATAATTATATATAGAATAGCTAGAAATAAAGAGATAAATATAAAAAGTCTACAGAAAGAAAGATTATAATGTAGAAAAATTCAAGATTTAAAGTTGCAAATAGAAAAATATTTCAAAAGAAAATTTAATTAAAATAAAATGTATATAATTGAGAGCGAAATAATCTTTTCACGTGTTATTTTTTAGATTTACATTCTATTGATTGTACTTTAATTATATAATATTGCAAAAAGTATAATAGAACTCTTATTACGGTAACACTGTTCTAACTAATGAATCTTTCCTACTTTATTTATAATTACAAAATACAATCATTTCTATATTTCTGAATTATTATCTAATGTATATTATTTCTGAAGTATTCATAAGTGTATAAGCAAGTTTTACGCATTTGAGTTATATCTATCGCTGTACAACCCATTCATATCTAGGAAAATGGAAATCAAGATTAAAGCAATAAAATAAAAAATACTCATACGGTAACCATCATACGGAATAATCGCAGGGACTTCATTATTTACGTTTAAAATGTCTTTAAATTACGTTTCAATAATGATACCTGCAGTTACGCACTGACAAGTCACGCTCTGTGTCGATCTTACAATAATAAAATATCAGCTTTACATTCGATGGGCGATAAGACGCACGCGCTTCCCTTTCACACCAGGGTATACTGTATATAACGGCTGGACGCACCCCTTCGACCCTCCTACCAGTCCCTCTTCTTTCGACCCTCGTCGTCGGACTCGCCCCTCGTTTCCTCCACTTAAAAACCGGTAATTACTCTGATGCTGGTGTGCTCTGGCATTTACCATCCGCTTCGGTGTTACTCTGTTTTCTGCTTAACAGCGACACTCGACCCGAAACTCGATTTTCGCAGCACGCTATATATCATTGCATTATACTGCGCATTAGTCCTCGTGATGTGAACAACGCAGTGAATTAATTTTGCAGCGAGTATCAAAAACGCTACTATAAGCATCTTCGCAACACATTAGTTACTCCACATAAAACATTTTGGGTTGCATAATTTCGTTTTTAAACACATTTCTTTCGAAAAATTATTATTAAAAATTATTATAAAAAATTATCATAACTATAATTACTATTATTATATTATTAAAAATAATCTGCATCACTCTCTCTTAAGATTATCTTATTATAACTTAGAAATATTATTAATTTTGATAGTTATAAGTTTCCCGGCTATATAAATATTATTTGTTATAATTTTCTTTCATTTCCCCTATGTGAATAAAATAGAAAGAACAAAACAAGAAAAATAAAAAGACCAGGTTCATAGCCTACCGACTATACTTATTTTTAGCAAAGCCTTCACACGTCAATCATATTCATGTTTTCGGCATTTAGTAACTAAAATAAAGAATATAATGAAAATTTCCGGAAGAGTGACACGTGGCTGTGACGTTATAAAATTTTACGAGCACGTTTAAATGTATACCAGATTATTCATATATGAAGATGTACCTGACATATTTTCTAATACACGGAGAGAATTTTCTTTTAAAATTTACCCTGAAAATATGGTGATTGTGGTACAATACAATATTTTAAAGATTTTTATCATGCACTTCAGTAAAATTGATCAAACTTATTTTATACTTTATTGTAGTTTTATTAATGAATGAGAGAGATTTATATCAAAATTCTTCGAAATACAATGTTGTCCCACGATTGTCATATTTTCAGGGTAAATTCTAAGAAAAAATTCTCTCCGTGTAGATGTTAATCAATATTTGTAAGAAATGTATAAATCTTTCAATTTTTAGACAATAAAAAAATAGAAATAATAAAAAATCCACCAAAGTTAATAAAAAAAAAAAAAATGTAATTTAGCCCTGCTATATACGATATGCAAGCATATCTTACATTACTTACCTTGATCGTCGTGTGGTGGGATCTTTCATAACCATAACCTCTGTGATGTCTCCGTACTTGGTGAAATACTCCCTGAGGCTCTCTAAAACAATAAAACCACTTGATTAGTTTTGGCACAATAGGAAATTATTATATAAGTGTTTTCAACGTCATATAAAAAAACTGTTAAAATATAGATATATTTCAATGTTATATTTCTCTTATCATAATATAAAATATATAATTATATCATTCTCATTCAAAAAAGCATTATTTTCATCGCAATACATATTCGCCCTTTTTTTTATAAAAGTGTTCCTTTTAACGCAAATATATGTCAGGCATAATGTGGCATCGCGACGGAAATCCAAATTATCCCTTCGCATAGACATATGTCAACCAAAGTTAGAGCTGAAGGTAACACAGAAGATCACTGACGCTAATTGGAATTAGTAGATAACAACACGAGTCGACACTTCGGAGCGTAATCCTCGTAGCCTGATAAACGTGGTGCGTGCGTCCAAAGTAAAGCTTTAGCTTAACACAACCTAGCTTTGATGGTAGCTAATTCTACACATTGTGCACCTGCTATGACGAGTTTGCTCAACGACCGTTTTCCGTTAAGTAAATAGATAGTAATAAAATTATAGTTTTGTATAATGTACAATAAAAATAAAAAAAAGATACCAATAATAATTAAATTAAAGTTATAACTATTAATAAATATAAATAACTGTTTTTATTCTTTATCCTTATTCTAGCCAATTTTTTTACCAGAAAAATAACATCGTGAAACAAATTATTCAAATAAAAGTATCATAAAAACGATACATGCGTCACAAAGATATACGTTACGAAGACAAATCTGTGGACTATGGTATAATTATCAAACACAGCCAGAAATTAGAACACTGATATCTTTTTTTACATAGTGAACAACAAAAAGAAAAAAAATTATATCCAGGGTCTCTTCCCTTTTTTACTTTTTAGTTGGCTGAGAAATTATCCAATCACACACGTGCCATACGATCAATGCGACCGATGTAACCAATGTAGAGCTTCCTCGCTTCTCTCCACCAGGGACACCCCCTTGACCCTTTTCGTAGGTTTATAGCGAAAAGCTGAACACTGGCGGCGGGCCAGCATGGCCGCGCTCCAAATACGTCTTACACCTTATCTAATTATACGCTGTTTCATCCAGTCCACTTTAAAGACTTCGTAATGTTCAGCGGTTACTTGTCTGTACGATCGCGGATGAGATTTAATAAATCTACAACATGATTTTACGATAGGCTGCGACAAAAATAAACGTGTAAACTTTTACTTTTTCATATTAGTGCATTTTTAATGATTTGAAACTTCTGAAAAAAACTTACTTTATATTGTTATTTTTTATATAATAGCTTTTTAATTCACGCGGAATTATAATTAAAAGCTTAAGTTAAAATAATGCCAAATATTGAAATTTAAAAAGTTATAAAAAATGTTATAAAACTGCACATCTGTCAACATAATAAAAATGCAATAAAGACCGTTCAAAGAATACGAAATAAAAGAAAGAAAAATACCAAATTGGTAAGAACAGTTGCCTGCATTAAATAAGATGTCATTCTATCCTTGTTTTACGTCTAATAAACAGCGAAAATAGAATGATAGAAATAGCGCTAATAGCCTCTCCCTGAACGCACCAATAGAAGTACAAATCTTAATTATTGTTATTTTCTGTACAAAATACGAGCGAATGAATGACTACAATCGAAAGCTTGAGTGTTTGATAATTATTATTGCTGGGGTGCGGAAAATACGAGATAACTGGACTTGCAAATTCAGCGCACGGCATTAATCAATGAATTATTGGTATCTCCAGGTCATTAGCCACCGGGCACCACCTGTTTGGTAACGAGCCCCGCGCATAAATTACACCCGGCCCCGGCACTGTTAATTAGTGGCACCAAGTCGGAATTCTTAAGGAAGCGATACAGCGAGAACCTGTTATCAACCCCACGCTGGCTAATGTTCGTTTCATGACGAAACATTTAAAAGACAATTAGGCTAGACCAGAGACATTGACGTTGCCGTTTATTACGCCATCATCCCTCTTGAAAATAAGATTTTGTTAATAAAAAAGGGCATTATCGAAGCATGCTGTTGAATTGCTTCTTAATGGATTTGTAATTTGTATTTAATTCAAAGAGAATTTTTTTAAAGGACAAAAAACCAGACCTTTGAGTTTGCAGGTATTATTCAAATCTTGGAAATTCGTACGCAAAGAGCGAAAGGACAATGACTAATTGCATTTTCCCCATTTAAAATTCTTATTAAATACAAAGGAAAGGCTAATAAATTCTTTAATAACTGAGAGGAAGGTTATCGATACTGACATACTATTTTATTTTAGGATAACGTTTCCTAAACAAAAACTAAAAATAAAACTTTAGAAACATAAATACGACTAGAAAAAGGCATCTATCAGATATAATAATAATATAACAGTTTTCCGTAAAATAAGCAATGAACGTCTGGCAAAATGGGCTCCAAAATGGGCTGACATAGTAGACTGTAATACTACAAATTTATTTCTTTTTCTTTTACAAGTTATCTGTACAAAATGCTTAGAAGTGAATGTATATAAGATTTTTCTAAAACCTTTTCACTTTTATATATATAAAACGTTTTTCATTCACATGTATATACCATCTTAACTAATGAAAAAGAATTTATGTACATATTTTATACTGTTCTGTAAGACGTAAAAAGTGTAACGCAATAGATTTTTTTTTAGGGTTTTCCATTAATACATACTTGCATTCAACTCCAATAGGACTATACACTATGTACACTATAATGCAACATTATACAATTAACTTATGGTCTATCTTACAGCAGGTATGCCGGTTTACGCTGCACCCCAATTTTATATTTAAAACCACATTATGAAAAAATAGAGAGAAAAAAATATAAATAAAACTGATTTAGGAAACTACAAACATGTAAAATAATATAATATTATCAATAATTATAAATAATTATCAATAATATAATCACTATATTATTTGAACTACGCAATTGCAAAAGAAAATCGTAAAAATTTTATTTTCGCATTTGTATAATTCGTTTATAGCTAATTTTGTATAGAAACCAGCCACAAATATATAAATTATGAGTTTGTATTTCTTTATTTTTATCTAAATTACTTATCTAAATAAATCACGTTTTTATCAGTATTAATAGAATGCAATATAGTTAATTTTCGGAAAATAAGGGGGTGACTCTTTAGGAGACGTATGTTAATATCGGTAACTTTCCTCTACTCAAATTCCATTTAAAAATGTAGATAAAAACATAAAAGGAAGGATAAAAAATATTATTCTCGTATCTCTTATATTAGAGATTAGAAATACGACATAACTAATCTAAAAATTTATTTAACTTATTTATAAGCTTTCGTTACTTTCAGTAATTTTTGGCAAAATTAACATGTTTTTTGCTCAACATATATAATAAAATTTTTTATTTAAAAATTATAATACTAATTAAATAGTTAAATAATTTTTTAGGATCTGAATAAACGAAGCATTTTTCGATGGATTTTTATTCGCTGAAAACGAATCCGACCGCGGAATTGGCCTAACACGTCAGGTTTTCGAAAAAATTGAGGTTAAATGTGCCAAAATTAGCTTTTTTGGCTATATTTATCATTTTTTGTGACTAAATTTAATTTTTTTTCAATTTCATGTATGCCACTTTAAAGTGCTCTATTTTTTACCTATAAAATAAATTTATATTTATTACGGTACAATTATTATTTTTCACCGAGACATGAAAGTTTTAACTCTTTTGCAGTGTAGCTAAAATGAGCCTTCTGATCTATTTTTGTGTAAAAATAAGTTTCCTAAATATCATAATTTTATTGTTATAATTTGATTGCTGAATTTACTTAATATTAAAATTTCAAAATTAAAAATAATGGATCCGTTAGGACGGATTAAAATTGGAAAGTATAGACAGGTTTTTAAGAAAACGTGTATCTTAATGTTTTTGAGGCTAAATATGATAGAATTTTAATACTTAAAATGGCGTATGGAATACTGTTTTGGTAACGCTTATGCCTGCGATTTGCCTAGAAATTTACAGTTTATAGACAACTTGCGTGCGCGATGCGATCTTGCGCAATCTTGATATGCTAATTATGCATATGAAAAAAAATCGTACCGTAATAAATATAAATTTATTTTATAAGTAAAAGATAACACTTTAAAGTGGTGTAAATGAAGTCGAAAAAAAAATTTACTTTGGCCGCAGAAAAATAGTAAATATGGCCAAAAACGCCAAATTTGATATATTTGACCTCAATTTTTTCGAAAACCTGACATTAGTTAAACCAATTCCGCGGCCGGATTCGTTTTCAGCAAACAAAAGTCCATCGGAAAACACTTCGTTTATTCAACTCTCCAAACAAGGTCTATTTTTATATAACTGTGTTATGAGTGCTAAAAATATTTTTAATTAAAAAATGTCTATTTTCTTTCCAAAGAATTTTTACTGTTTAAAATATTTATATATTTCTCTTATTCACGTATAAAAACATATTTCAAACATGTTTTAAACCGTTTAAAAGTTGCTTAATCGAGGTTTTTAATATATTTTAATCATGTTTTTTATAATACTATTTAAAGAATGTTTGAAGCATTAAAAACATATTTAGAAAGAAACACGGTATTTTATTATAAAAAAAAAACGTTATTCTTTACTTTATCAAACCTGTTCAAAGCGTAGGTTTTTCAAAATATGTTTTGTGTTTTCACAATAGATCTTGAACATTTTTAAAACTCACTATAACGTCACTCTACAACAAAAATGTCGCTAAAAGAGGGGGTATATCCTTGTTTCCTATTGAACAGACTTGCCGATTCTTGCTTAATTTGTCCCTGGTTGGATTGATGGAAGCAATTTCGTCGTTCTCGCGAAAAGGCGTCCTTAAAACGTGGCCGCGATCCGCCGAAATTTACGGCTGTCATTTCCTTAATTGTTTTCCGGCACAACTTATTTTTCACGAGCGGCCCTCGATCGTCTCGCATTCTCATTTCAGCCGTTCCAGTTGCT